CAGCAGATTGCCCAGGTGGCCCTGCAGCGCCACAGCGGCCACGCCCTCCGCCCGCAATCCACAGCATCATCTGTGCGTGACGGGGCACAAGGGCAGAGTCTTGTCCCTGTTGCCCAGCTGCCATGTCCTTGGATGTGCTGCTCCGCACAGGCTGTGCCTGGGGCTGACTCTCCTCCAGGGGGGCTGCTGCTGAGGAGGTGGCCGCAGGGGAAGGCGGGGCTGGGGCAATGGCGCACATGCCCATGCGTGCCATAGGTTTGCCACCACTGATCTAGTGAATACCATGCAAGTTTTTTTTAATTAGGAGGCACACTAGGTGGATCTGATATTTTTATCAGTTACAAATTTTAAACTAAAAGTTTACAAAATAAAATTTTATATATTTCATTCTGATAAAACCTTTACATTTGTATTGTTTTTAAAGGTATTTGTATACTTAGAATTACATTAAGTGGCTCCTCAAAAATAGCTTTTTGTAGAACTATTTTCCCAGCCAAAATCACAAAAGAATATATGCTGAGAAAAAACAGGGTCCATGCTTAGATAGTTTAAAAGAATTATTAAAAAAACTGCATTAAAATATTTAAAAATATTAAATCATTTACCGTGCACTTAGTAAGTATATATAGAATGACAAATAAGAGTGTACAATGCAAAATAAAAAACAAAAGATGAGCAATTAATGTTTGAGTTATAACATAGAATTCATTGGCATGTATTGGCAACTGTTCAATTTTCTTTAAGTAGGTGAATAGCAGAATCTTTTTGAAATATCCTGAAATCAAACACTTTCAAGACATTAGTAATTTTCAATTTTCTTTAAGTAGGTGAATAGCAGAATCTTTTTGTAAATCAAGCAGTATAAGTAGAGCATGTAAGTCTTATCTGATTTACTTCCATAATTTTTAATACAGGTAATGCTTAAGTGGGAACAGCAACTTTCCTGCTAAGCAGAGTGGGAAATCATATGACCGTGACTGTGCTTTTAGACTAGAAAGAGACAAGACTACTATACTCAATTTCACATCCTTGGTTTTTGTTTGCCTCCTAACTACTCCCCTGCTGCTTAGAACGCTCAAGTGCCTGCTTATTGTTGTACACATCAAAAGTAACACAATCATATCGGAAGCCCAGGGCTGGGAACCACAGTTGTACTATGCAAACAGCTTACTCTCTTGAAATCACTTCCTCTCCAATCTCTCCACTCTACAGTGGGACGGGAGAGAGAGAAACAAGTGATTTCTGCGGGCAATTTCTTTGATTGATCCTTCCACCCCACCACCTCTGAGAAAGGACAGATTAGAGAGATTGTGAAAGGATAATACATTACACATCTGTTGTAACCTTTTATAAAAATCTGAAGTCAGAATTAATCAACCCCAATTTAGAGAACTTCCTAGCAATGAGAATGAAGCATATTAATATTCATTTATTATATTTTTTTTCATGTTTTTCTGGGTAGATATGTACTGGCCAGTGACCATAAATAAATGGACTAAATTATGTTATGCTATATCCTGCCTTTCTATTCTAGCAAATAGTGGACTGAACCATCTAAGAAAGAAGCCAGTTGGGTAGAATGAAATTCGGAGTAAATACTGCTGTTTTTCTAGAGAGATGAGAAAAAAATGGGAGAAAGTTAGGGCAGTTGGCTGGGTGGGTTAAAAGAGGGATTTAAAATGTTTGTTGTTTTGTTGTAAAATCATAAGGTTTTTCTAACAATGAGTGTTTTAAAATACTGTAGGAGATTAATACTTGAGAATATATTGAACTCTTCTTGCTTTGGTTTAACATTATTAATGTCTTGAAAGTGTTTGATTTCAGGATATGTTTATTAGTACAACATAGATATTCCATAGTATATTCTTAAATTCCATTTATATGTGAAGGTCTGATAAGTCTGGTCTGGAGAGAAGTAAAAATCTGTATAGAAGCAAAGATTTGAAGTGTCCTCAAAGTATTAGAAAGGACACTTCGCAGAGTATATTGTCTTAAGTGAAGTAGTCCTCTTTGTATAATTAAAGCAACTACATCCTCTTGACTGATGATCTGGGCTGCATCAAAGTCTTCTTCTAACTGACTGTGTAGATGCATACAAATCCTTTTCACAAGTGTCCCCAGAAATCTCTACAAGCACAGATGGACAGCTAGCCCTGGAAGAACTTTCTATGGGATGTGGCTACTTTAACTCTTCACAGAGGGTACTTTCCTTGTGCCAACACATTCTACAAATACTTGTTTAAAATTGTTAGCACAGTCCTGTTGTGTCTGCTCTCTGAAGTGCTTTTATTTCCTTATGGACCATTTACCTATTTTTCCTCTCTTAAATACTTTTCTTTTTTACTCTACTGAGCACCCTGATTCGTTCTCAAAGTATTAGGTAAAAGTCTAGTTGCTTCCGACTCTAGGGGGGTGGTGCTCATCTATTCTTATTGAAGGAGCCATCATTGAAGACATTTCCATGGTCATGTGGCCAGCATGTCAATACTCCAAAGGCGTACAGAATGCTGTTACCGTCCCACCGAATTGGTACCTGTTTATCTATTTGGATCTGCATGCTTTCAAACTGCTAGCTGGGCAGGAGCTGGGGCAAGTAATGGGAGCTCACCCTGTTGCATGGTGCTCAGGTCTCGAACCCAGGCTTTCCGCTTTCCAGCTGATAAGCTCAGTGTCTTTAACCGCTGAGCCACCACTGACCCATCGCACCCCCATCTCTAAATATTAAGCAGTTCCATATATTTGGAAATCATGCACTTTTTTAGTGTATTAAACACTGGCAATGAATTTCTTTTGAGTTTTTGGTAACAGGTGCAAAAGAAGAGAAGGGGGAAGCTAAGGCTTGCTATTTATTGCTCTTGAGTAAAATATAGCACTTGTATTTCAGTTGTATTTTGAACATCGTCAAATATTTCTTACTAATAAAACTGAGGTGGAAGTTTGTATCTGATCCTTGAAAAAAATATTTCTCAGTTTATTTTATCTGGTTTCTAACTCTCGATTGTTGATATTGAACTGTATTTCTTAAATATAAGAGTATAGATATGTTTAGGCTTATAAAGTATCTTCTATTAAAAATGTAACATAAAATAATGGCAGGGTTGTTATGATAGTTTTAAAAATAATAGGTGATTCAAACTCAGTGTATTAATTTTGTATAACTATATAGTTACAATAAAAATTGCTTACATGAATTTCAGAAGACTCAAATTCTATATAAAGCATGAAAATTTGAACTTCTTAATTTGTGTTCTTTTAAAATATAAATTCATTGAATGCTGTTTTTGCATCTGTTGGGTAGATTGAAAAGGTGAAGCACATAATATCTTATAGATATCATTTAGATCACTGCAAAATATTTGAACGAGCACCACATAAATGCAAAAAAATACCAACTTAAGAAGACAAAACTTAGTAACTGGCCCTATCCATTTTTTTTCCGTTTTAGAGCTAGTTCTCGACTTACAACCATTTGTTCAGCAAATGTCCAAAATTATGTCAATGCTGAACAAATGGAGGTTTTTAACCAATCCTCAGAGTTATGTCTGGGCCAACAACTCCACAATCACATGTTTGTAATCTGGGCAATCAGTTAGCAATTGGGTTGCACTTATAACCAGTTGTAGCACCACATGATCACATGGAATAATTTGTAAACATTTAGGTCCCCTAGAAGCCAAACTTTAATTATGTTTGCTGTGCTGTATGATGTGTTGTATCTATAGTAACCATTCTTGCTTAAGTTAAACTTCTAGTCCAGTGATGGCGAACCTTTTAGAGACCGAGTGCCCAAACTGCAACCCAAAACCCACTTATTTATCACAAAGTGCCAGGGCCACATCAGCATTGTGGTGTCCTTGGGGGGGGCAGGGAGGTGCCTCTGAGTGTCACCTCTGGCATGCAAAACCCGGGGGCACAAAAATGGGCCACCGTGCTGCAAGGTGCAAAAATGGCCACCGCTGCGCCATTTTTGTGCAGATACAAGACACTGCAACATGCAAGAACGGGACAGGGCTAGTGAGTATCACGCAGGAACTAGCCCCGCCCCATTTGCAGCGCGTGAGTGCTCGTGGCCCCATGCGTGCATGCACGCATGTAAAATGCTTCCCCCTCCCTTTTCTTCCACCAATCGACAGTGGTCATTGACCTCTGCTCTACCACTTCTACTCGAGCTTGCTAGTCGGCCGCTTCGCCTCCTTTGTGCTGGGTGGGGCTCCTGCTCCGGGCGGCGGTGGCGGCCTGATGGACCGTGGTGCGTGTGTCAACAGAGAGGGCTCTGAGTGCTGCCTCTGGCACGCGTGCCATAGGTTTGCCACCACTGTTCTAGTCTGTGGTGTGTGTGCGCGCGCACACACACATACACTGTTAGTTTTGCTACTCTTGCATATTTTCCAAGTATAAATTTCCAATCAAATATTACCAGAATTGTGTCTCTCTTCCAATGTTGAGCAAAATTTATTCTTGCTGCTGTAAGCATATATTCACATTAAATTATGATGTTTTTGGTTGATTTTTTTTCTGGTATTATACCCAGTAAGAACAGCTGTGGTTTCATTTTGAATTTAAAATCCAAAATTTTCTGCATTACCTTGCACTTTTTTCACAGAATCTAGTATTTATTATGATGAGTCTCAGAAAGAAATAGAAGTGATATCATTTCAGAAAACATTTCTATATAGAATTGAAAACAGCCTAGCTTTCTGATTTCTATGTGGAGAAACTTAGGCATTTGATTTCTGTATTTTAAATTTTCCCAAACTGCAGTTAAGTTTGGGAATCTATTTATGGGATAATTACAGGATAATTAAATACTCTGTACATTGATTGTCCATATTGTAGAATAGGAGAAACATTGTACAGAGATAGTGGTGAATAATAAATATTCACTTTGTATGAAGTAAGTGCATGAACTTCAGATGAGGAAGTCATTCTGATTATGATCACTTGTAAGCATGATTCTTCTTCTATTTCTTCTTTTTGCAGGTGAAAAAAACGTGCCCAGATTCAGATGTTTCAGAATCTCAGAATTCCAGGTAATTGACAAATTTGAATGATAATCACCTATAAAGCTACTTATAAAAGTAATAATTAAATCCAAAAGCTAATGAAAATAAGAGGGTGGATTATTATCAAAAATTTTAAATGCTGTGATTTGGACTATATATATACATATATATGCCAAGATTAAAACTAGGGCAAAATATGAATTACGATTTATAACATCTATGTTTCTCTCTTTTACACAGAATAATAATGGTACAGATATTAATAAAATATTACATGTAATGTAGTTCAGTGTTTATTGTGTTTTTCTCTATTTTTGCAATAAAATAAGACCAACTTTAAATATATATCTAGTATTTATGTTCTGACATGATGTGTGTTTTGAGTAAAAGTCAGAGTAGGAAATAGCCTGGACTTTTCTGAATTGCTTCTTCTATTGCATTTTCACCTCTTGAAATATTATTCATTTTTAAACAATCCTAATATTATATACAACTTGAGATAACACGCATCTGACCAGAACACAGAATTTTGAACAGTAGCATACAATAAATTGTAAACCTATTGTGAATTGATTTTTTTCAGAAATAAAGTATCACAACTATGGGCTAGCTAAGTGGTCGCCAACATTTGTGGCTTGGTGGCCCAGCTGGGGGGGGACGAGAGGAACTGGGCCTTGTAAGCAGTGGGCCAACATGCATGCTCATGCGCACAGCTCTACTTGTACAAGCGGCAGCCTGGCGCGCATGTGCATGCATGTCAGCCCACTGCTCATGCAAGTGGAGCTGTGCACACCAACCAGATGCTCGCGTGAGTCGAGTTGCATACACACATGTGCACCGGCCCGCCTCTTGCACAGCCCATGGCCGGCTAATGGGCTGCGGTTTGGGGGTTGGGGACCCCTGGATTAGCTTACTTCAATAATAGTGTAGATTCTATTTATTTTCTTCTTCTAGGATGAATGTTATTCGAATGTAAGTAAATGTTATTTGAAGCATAAGTATAGAATGGAAAAGCATAATTTTTAGCTATACCAAATTAATGAATTTATGAGGATTTTTATGAGGGGGCAAAATTATAAATAATCCCCATTTATTTTGTACTACTTGAGTTCTTGTTTTTTAAATTAATTATCGTAGTCCTCCAGCTAAGCAGTGTATTTAAGATAATGTACAGGTAGTCCTCGAGATATGACCATGATTGAGCCCAAAATTTCTGTCGTTAAGTGAGTCATTTGTTAAGTGAATTTTGTCCCATTTTATAACCTTTCTTGCCACAGTGGTTACGTGAATCACTGCAGTTGTTATGCTAATAACATAGTTATAAAGCAAATCTGACTTTCCCATTGACTTTGCTTGTCAGAAAGTGGTAAAAAGTGATCACATGACCCTGGGACACAGCAACGGTCTTAAGTATGAACCAGTTGTCAAGCTTCTGAATAATCATGGGAATGCTGCCAAGGTCGTAATTGTGAAAAATGATCATAAGTCACTTAACAACTGTCTTCCTTAGCAATGGAAATTTGGGGCTCAATTGTGATCATAGGTCAAGGACTACCTGTATTTCATGTCTCAACTAAGTAAAAGTCTATCCCAGATAATATTTGGTTCTGGTTTCTCCCAAAGCTAGAACACATGTATCAAAGATAACTTACAAATATTTTTGGGTAATAAATACAGTTTATTAAAACTATAGAACAGTGTTCCCAACCTTTCCGGGTTGGCAGCCCTGTATGGTGGGAGGAGGGGGGAGGGAATGGTTTGTGTGAGGGGCAGGTTAAAGCATACAACTTTATTTGTGTGAGTGCAAATGGCCCTGGTGCTCGCCACTCATGTGAGTGGGCTGTGAGCCCCAACCCTTGAGTGAATCGGGCTGTGTGCGCTCGTGTTGTGAATATGCTACAGCCTGGTAATGAGCTGTGGTGCACCGGTTGGGGACCCCTGCTGTAGAACATTGCCATGCCCAAATGTTCAGGTTGAGAGAATAGGGAATAGTGAAGTGATGTTAAGTAATGTGGTATTGTCCTTCCTTCTCAGCCTAGCTATGTGTTTAGATTGATGTGATAAGGATGGCTAGTAGAAATCTGTTTGTAAGGATCATAACAATCACTTCAATTTGAAAGCAGTTTTGTCAGTAGAATTTTTCCTCTTCTTTCCATCCTTCACCAGAATATATTACTATACGGCAAGAGGAGATCAGTCCTCATGGTATTCCCCTTCACTGTAATAATAATAATAATAATAATAATAATAATAATAATAATAATAATAATAATAATAATAATAATAATAATAATAAAGTTGGAAGGGACCTTGGAGGTCATCGAGTCCAATCCCCTGCCCAGGCAGGAACCTTACACCATTTCAGACAAACGGCTGTCCAGTCTCTTCTTAAAAACTTCCAGTGTTGGAGCATTCACCACTTCTGGAGGCAGGCTGTTCCATTGGTTAATTGTTCTCACTGTCAGGAAGTTTCTCCTTAGTTCTAGGTTGCTTCTCTCTTTGGTTAGCTTCCACCCGTTGCTTCTTGTCCTGCCTTCAGGCGCTTTGGAGAATAGCTTGACTCCCTCTTCTTTGTGGCAGCCCCTGAGATATTGGAACACTGCTATCATGTTCCCCCTCGTCCTTCTCTTCGTTAAACTAGACATACCCAGTTCCAGCAACCGTTCCTTATATGTTTTAGCCTCCAGTCCCCTAATCATCTTTGTTGCTCTTCTCTGTACTCTTTCTAGAGTCTCAGCATCTTTTTGTGGAAGCACGATTTCTCATGTTACGTTATGCAAGATTTATTGTTGTATGGATAAAAAGAGGAAGAATATCCAAGGAAAGTGATATGTATTATAATATAATAGATCAATAAGAATGAAATTACCGAAATATTTTTGATAATCTACTTAATTTTTGTTTACATTATAAGATAAAGTGATTTTATTTATCATAAAGATTCATTATAAATTTCTTTCCCTAATATTTTTTATGAGTTGTATCAAACTCTTTTTTTTTCTTCATACTGATTTATACTATATACCAGGGGTTTCGAACCCCCGGGCCGTGGACTGTTACCAGCCTGTTAGAAACTGGCCCATGCAAGTAGTGGATGAGTAAGCAAAGCTTCATCTGCACATGCGCGGGATCTAGCTTGCAGACAAAACCATCCCTCCCTGGTCTGTGGAAAAATTGCTTTCCACGAAACTGGCCCTGGCACCAAAAGGTTTGGGGATTGCTGCTGTATACATTTCAAATGAAAATTTGTTGTACGGTATAGCAAAGTATTACATAAAGTCAACAATAAACCTTAAAGTATAGAGTGACACTAAGAGCATGCTATGGTAGAGAATATGCCTGGAGCATGATAATTCTTTCATAAACAGGGCTTAAGAAAATATTATAAATAAAGTGAAATGTCAGCATAAAAATCAGTGTTAGAGATGCTTTCACTTGCAGAATAGTTCAGGACTTTTTATATGTGTTTCAATCTTTCATTTATTTAACTGACTTTATTGTGTATTGGTTTTGGACTTGAGAGTATTAGAATAAGTGCAGATGGAATATGTTTTTACAGTAGGGAAGTAATTAGGTTGGGTGTGGGAACGTTGTCAGGAGAATTCTTGGAGGGACATGAGTGTATCAGCAAATTCTTTGTCTTAGCTTTTCTTTTACAAGAAATATGCAAGCTGTTATTTGTGGCCTACATAATTATCCAAAGGAATTTACTGATAGAAAAATACATCTAGGGAAAGAATGAGTCCAGTATATATCTGTTATGAACAAAAAAGAGAATATTTAATGTGTAGTTTAGTGAAGGGAAAGGGAATAATAATGAACTGCTAAATGTTTTTTTTATGTTAGTAATTTTCATTAGATTGCCTACAATATTTAAATATCTGTTTTTTGCAAATTCAAGGGGATATTTACTAAAGTGATAATTTAAATAAGATCTTAACTTGAAAATAGTTTTACAGTATGTTATCATTACGTAAATTCTATATATGTAGTTTGAAACATCAAAGAAATTTCATTTAAATTCTGAAGATACACAGCATGAAAATGATTTCTTTAAAACTGATGCTTTAATATTACTTGTGTAGTCTGGGACTGCAGACCTTTCTTCCCTAATTACAAATCAAATTACAGTGCTTCGTATGGTCACCTGGATTGTGATGATTTTTCCCAATAATTCACCTAAATAAATGAGATTATTTGTTGTAATTGCTAAAGTGTGAATAAGGTCCTTCAGAGTGACTTTGCTTTTAATTAGAAGCTCTCTCCTATAACTTGTTATTCAAACTGCTATTGGCTGAAATATTATTGATGAGCTCATAATTATGGCACGATAGGAAAAAAATATCATTATAGTTTATTCCATTTAAACTATTTTTCATAGCTGTCAGGTAAACCTATAAGAAAACTACCTTTATAGTAAACTGAGCATATCTAGCCATAACATTTTAATACTATTATATATGACTTATTACAAGGAAAAGATTATTCCTAAAATATATTGCTAAATGTCTATGATAACTAGTCTTCTTACAAAGAAATACAGATCCATCCATTTTGCATTGTGCTTGATTCTGTTATGTAAGACTGGGAGGGGGGGTGTTATTTCAATTTATATTTTTTTTGTTTTTTAATAACTACAGTTCTTACTAGATATTACTAGATGAGAGAGGGCTTCGCCTAGAAGAGTTACATTTTCTGCTTTTCCTTACTGTATATTGTTATCATTTATAATGCAACTTGAATTAACTTGATAACTTCAGTAAAATGTTAAAATGCAATATTAAAGAATTAGACAAAGACCTAGGGGAGCAAAGTCCAAATCCATCCTCACACATCCACAGCCATGTGAAAAAGTAAGCGCATCCAATGTAAAGCTTTTTTTCCTTTTTTTAAAAAAGAGATATAATCAATATATTGTTTTCATTTTAACAGTATAAAAGTGATGTAATTGAACAGAAAAGCCCTCAAAAATTGCTTTCAATCATTTATTCAACAAATAATGAATAGATATGCCATTTCCTTCTGTG